TGATATTGAACTGACATTTTGAATGCATGCATACAACAATAAAACTTGGTCACATGCAACAACCTTCCTTTCATTGATTCACATGTTCTGAAATTATGATTTAGACATTATCTGTTTCCTGTGATCACTTTATCTCAATCATGTTTACACAAATATTTTCGCCTGTCTTCGTCGGAAAAGGTCACTGTCGTAGATACTTTAAAATAACTGAGATATCATTTTCTCATGAAAATATCTTTTGAAAAGAATAGATGACAAATCTGTTCAGAAATTTTTAGAAACACAGCACTAAATGCAGTCAAGTTAACACTACGACATGGGTTTGCTATCTTAGACCGTATTAACTACTAAGGTTTTAACGATTTGTCACGATCTTTGATGCTTGTGCAATAACAAAATAAAAAAACGAACTTTTTGAACGCATATTCTTGCTGAATCTGTTTTTTTTTCTGCAAAGGAATGAATCATAACTTTACTGCAGGTGAACCATTGAAGAACAGGTTTTGTTTAGAGAGAAGATGACTACTTTTGCCTAGGACAATTTTAATAGAGCTTAAGCATATTTTTCCACCAACATTATAGACAAACTGCAACAGTATTTATCCCTTGTAATTTTACATAAATAGTATGTACTCAAACTGCATCGTATCATTTTCGACATTTCTGGTTTTCTAATCATGCTTATTCTCGATATTGTTTCGCTCTACTAACTTTATTTATAATTATAAAATTGTTCATAAATTCATGGATCTGAACTTAATTGATCAATTCATGATTGTATTAGTTGAAACGTTATTATTCCTTCTCAGTTCACGAATAAGAATCCGAATTCCACATCAACCTATAGACTAAATCAATTTTTACCGTGAATGTTCAACTCAATCCGATATTGAATACTAACAAATATATATGATAAAGTTTTCCCATACTCATCGTTGTTTATTTTTGTTGAAAGTTTGAAAAAAACATTCGTATCTTATTTATACTAATCCGCTTTGCTGATAAATAGAACCACTTTTTATCATTAAAAATAGGTTTTTCAATCTTTTCCTTAAATGATTCTAGAAAGAAGTTATAAGTGAAACAATAGTTTTGAACATTTTCTAATTTATTTCAGTTCAAACAAAATTGTTCCGTTGTAGATCTAATTAGAAAATCAATAAATTTTCTTTTCGTTAGAATTTATAGATTTTACAAACACTTGTTACAACAAGTTGAATTTTAATTCTTGAAATATCGCCTACGATTCTTATCATCTTACTATATTTATTCTCGCTTGTTTCAACAATGCGAACATCCATTAATTCCCATTTTGGAAGGAGCTAGATTGAGTTAGTCTCTCCCTATTTTTCTCATCATCTCTGCACAAACGTTGAGCTATTGTTAGAAAACCATGTGCTAAATTTAAGAAGACAGCTTTGCTCAGCCAGTCTTCAACAGACAGACTACTTCCGACGGTCGGTTGAATCTTAAGTCCATTGCACTTCTAAAAATTATGTAGTGTCCTGCCAGCATACTTGTCTCTCTTGTCCCAATTCTACTGTGCCCACATCTTTTCCCTCCAACCAAAGCATCAAGAAGACACATCATATACATCTTTTGTACCAATTGTATAAAAACAGTAAAAGTAAGTAGCAGCATTTTTAATCATCAACTATTTTTAGCATTTATTTCACATTGTTCTTTCTCAATGAAGTGTGGGTGCTGCTCCAGGCTGATAGAAGGCTCATCTTCACTCTATGGTATTTCACACTATTGTCAATTAGAATATTAGTTAAGAATATCGTTGACCTGGATAAGAACCAATGTATAGAGTACGAAATAAACAATTTATATTTTATTTATATGTATATATATATTACAATACTAACCCAGAAAACAATGCTTTTCAAATGCTATGTAGTTTTTCTAGAGCTACAAGCGCCTCATTCACTAATTGCTTTGGTCATACATTAACTTGTTTAGTCTCTGAAAGTAAAGTGCTGAATGTTTGAATGAAGAGTTGTGTGTATCATGCAAAAGCACTCAAAATGAGATAATGAAAACTCATTATTCGAAAAACAGTTGATGATCAAAAGTATTCGTTTATTTTATTGGCGTCTTACATACCAGATAGATTAGAATATAAGTTGGACTTCTCTTCATCGATACTCATCTTCTACTAGATTTTGCTTATTATAACTCAATTTAACAGTAATGTGAAACAAGACAAAGATTACAAATTGAGAAAATGAGTACGAGAAAAAAATTGTAGTGTCACAAACGACTCAATGTCAAATCAATATAGAATATATCCACTTAAAATTTATTATTCAGTAGCATAATTCATATTTTGCAATACTGTTTCTTTTTCCCAAGTTTTTTTTTTTTTTATCTAAAATTAATCAAAAAATCAAATAAAATCAAATGAAACATTAAGCGAATCATCGTTCAAAACATCAAAAGTTTCTTATTAATTTTCTTGTTTCCATACGGTATTGATCATCAAATAACTTTTGAAGTATGAATGAAAATAAAAATATCATTCTAACTAACAGATGGTCAACAACGAATAATATTACGTGTGAAACCGTTACGAATCAATGTTGGCAGACACATTTACGAGCGAATATGTTGTATGTTGAGCAAACATAAATTATCATTGGTTATTGCTTATCAATTTCCTATGATGTATTCCGCCATACGTTCTTTTTTCTCTCTTCACAATATTCAATTACTTCTTTCTTCTTTTTTTTTTTTGTTTTTAAATATTATTCGTTTAGAAAGAATATTCAATTGTTTTTTCAATTAGAATGAATTGACATAGTTCGAATTCGATAGATTTTATGACAGTATACTATCAGTAGATTTTGTAATATGCATTAGCTAATATATCGAATGCGAGAAAAAGAAGCAAACATGAGCGATGATTTACCTGATGTTATATGATTTATGTGAGCCAACGGAAAAAAAAACTAAGATATTGACCAATGATATTTTTTTCATTACTTTTCTCTCTCTCTTATCATTTGTACACATACGAAATTAATCATATGAAAATCTCAAGTGTTCTCTCTTCTAACCATCATTTCTCAATATGTTCTTTTTTTTTTGCTATAACGACAATAATAGTCTGTTAGTTTCTTTTCAAAACGGTAGTTAAAAAGTGATATTTATTGACTATCGCTTGTGTGTACACCATTTTTTTTTCTCCTATTTAAACGATCAAATCAATATGGACGGTACGACATCCGCTGTAAATTATCTTCTCTCACCGGCGACTAACGATTATTACGATCATCATTCGCTTCAACCTATACAATCGTTAGGTAGTATACCTTACTATCAATCAGATGCCGTTGATTGCTTTTATGATCATCACAAATCGGACTATCAGCCACCACCTTCTTATGTTTATCATCCTACACCCCAACAATCTTTCGGATACGGTTCATCTATTTATGATATTCAATCATCTCAACCATTCATTCAAGAATCCAATATTCTTCTTTTACAAAATCAACCTCGATTACCACCTGTTTATGAGTTGTCTCCTCCTTGTCAGACTCTACAGCCCGCATCATTACAAAATACTGCACCACTACCACCAAAAGTTTTAAAAAGAGAAGTACAAGAAACAACATCAACATCTGAGAAAAATCATGTATATGAATGGATGAAAGGTATATATAAGAAAGAAAACACTCGATTATTATACAAATCAATAGAATTCTTAAGGTAAATAGTCGGGTTTTTTTTTTGTATCTTCTTAGGAGACCAAATTCGACGAAAACATCGACAAGTTTATACACGTACACAAACATTCGAATTAGAGAAAGAATATCGTTTTAGTCAATATTTAACACGTAAACGTCGATCAGAAATTGCTGCTGGAATTCAGTTGAGTGATCGACAAGTTAAAATTTGGTATGACAATCATTTATAGATTAAAAAAAAAGATTTTTTTATTCTATGAGTATTTTTTTTAATCTTGCATTAGGTTTCAAAATAGAAGGATGAAAGAGAAACGAGAAAATCTTAAATTTAATAATGGAACATCATCAACATCGAAACAACGTAATGAATTTTCTTCGTAACAATCATTATTGTGATATTTGTACTTTTTTTATGTGAAATGATAATTTTTTTTTCTCTAAATATAAATTACTGTTAAAAATCCGAGATGACTTATAATAAAATATAAATACTCAAATAAAAGTCGATAGAAAATTCAAAAAGATTAATTAAATCACGAAGAAAATTTAGTAATGATCAAGTAGAAAAAAAACCACTTAAAAAGGTTATGATTATTATTAATTTTGGCATGACCACCTGTAGTCCGTGTGGATCTGAACCCATATCATCGTACTATTATAAGTACACAAGATTAGATGAAACTGCTCATCTTCCAAATATATTCTACTGAAGACTAGTAGAGTATACCAATAATATCTGCCAGTGACTCTCAAATATTATTTATGTTAATAGATCATTCCGAAGTACATATGAATGCTTGTTAACTACTGCCGGAGATTCACTCGGATCTCAACAAGATTCATTGTTGTATTAGTCATTTATAACATTTAATCGTATCATATTCTTTTAGGTATGCATTGGGAATATTTAGTACAGTGAATTGATAACATCACTCAATCAAATACAAATGTTCTTTTTATGTTAGAACACTTCAAAGTATGTGTGAATCCTGAATGTTGATACATGATTTCAAACATCTCAAAAATAGCAGCCATGTAAAATAGCAGAGTTGCAATCAAAAAACAAACTCAATTAAACCTAACAGAAAATCGATGAAAATGATATAATTTTAATCGATTTTAATCAGAAGCAATCGAAAAACTTAAAACTTCATTAAAAAAAAATCGATTTTAATTGGTTTTTCTTGATGATGAATAAAGTCTTTATCGATGTTGATCGACTTGTATCAACTATATTTGAATCTAATTCCAGCCCTAATATTTTCAAATCGTTAGATCTTATTTGGCTAAAAAGTTGAGCCTACCTTAGACTGAAATCTTTCCGCCCCCTATGGCACCTTTACCGCCTTGACCACCTGGACCATCTTGATCACCATGACATGTTTTAAAATCAACAAGAGAATTACTGATGAAGTCGTGTAACTTTTTGATTAAATTTTCATCATCATGTACCTTTCTAAAATATTTGTAAAAAAAAATTTATTAAACCAAAAAAATATTATTTAGATTACCCATTATTGACATAATCAGCTATTGATAAAAAGGTATTGCATGGTTTTCTATTGATCTAAATAAAAAAAATTTGCCATTAAATTTTAATAATAAAACATTACTTTTAAATTTAAATAGTAAAACCGTTGATCAACAGCTTGTTTTGTTTATATGTTAATGTCACCTTTTCGATACGTGACTTCTAAAAATTGGGGACTGCGTTGATTACAAGGTAAAACCTCTTTTTCCTAAAAAATGAAACAAATAAACAAAAAAAAGACATACAGAATTCTTACTTCGTCTGCCACATCGATGACGACGAAACCTTCTTTCAAAAAACAGAAGTGACATGATACCATAATAGGATCATATTTATCACCAAATACACGCTTATGGAGAAATAACGTCGCTCCCAAAAATGTTCGATGTGACATGGTAATGATTAATAATTGATATTATCAATTAAAATTAAAATTTTAAAATAAAAAAAAGAGATTTATGTTTAAAAATGAAGAGTTTGGGGGTACGCGTGAGCTGAGGTGAGGATATGTGAGCATCATTAATAAGAACAGTTGGAATGATTGGACAATATCATTTAGATTCAATACTCATCTCATACCATCTTCATTTAAATATGTTAATAATAGTTGATCATTTTTATTAAATAATAATAAAGCAAGACCAGAAAAAAAAGCAAAAGGTAAAGTCTTACCTATACAAAAATTGATTTGTTTTAATTTAAGGCTTCTCGAACATTTAATATTTTACCTTTTAATGGATAAACATAACGATCACGACCAATAACACCAAGACCAGCCACATTTGCATTCATCCAATTTTGATGTACCGTTTCATTTTGATATCTTTGACCCATTTTGTTTTTGTAATTTAGCATCTTGTGGATGTTCAAGACAATTAATAAATAATTGAACAATTCCGATTTTTTTTTATAATACCTTTAAAAAATTTTTTTTATCATCTTTTAATGGAAATGTTGAACAAAAATGTTTACCTTCAGTTGCTAATTTGTTTTGTTTAGCTTGTGATTCAAATTCCGGATATTCAATTAAACAATTAACACATATAAACAAATGATTTTCAACTTGCATTGATTTAAGATTTTCAGCAGCAGCAGCAGCAGCTTTACTTTTCTTTTTCATATGTTCAACAAGTTTTGGACATATTTGTTCAGTTATATAATCAATATGTTTACCATTTTCTGATGTCAAGATTGAATCAACAAAGCTGGCTTGTTGAAAATCATTATTATAATCATTTTTGGCAACACCAATATCCCAACAATCAATGACTTTTTTTTTATAAACAATTTCTTTTTTTGTTGTTTCAATATACATCAACATATATCATCTGTTTACAAAAAAGAAACAAAAAAAGAATTTTTAAAAATTGAATAGAAAAAATCTTATGGGAATACATTTACCATTAAGTGTTACGTTACAACCAGTTGATATAACTACATTATAAGCACATCGTTTAAATAATGAAACAAGATCATCATCATCGAATTTATCCATTTGAAATCGGTTTAAATCCGATGTAAATATCCCATGTGATGAGAACTGGCAAAAAACCGGCGGTTTTACCGGTCCGGTTACCGGCTCCCAAAACCGCGGTAAACCGGCGGTTTCTTCCGGTAAACCGCGGTAAACCGGCGATTTCTTCCGGTAAACCGGGGTAAACCGCGGTAAACCGACGGTTTCTTCCGATAAACCGCGGTAAACCGCTATTTTTTTTCTGGTTAACTGCGGTTTAACATTGGTGTTTTTACGATTAACCGGTACTTTAGTTGTGATACTGCGACCATATAACTGCTCTTTTCATAAAAATCTACAGTTCAGTTTCGTACTTAGTCTTTCAACTACAGCTTTATTTCAACACAAGTAAAAAAAACAAACAGCAGTGAACATGAAAAATAAACAAAAAATATGTCTTTGATTAGGCTTGTCCTTGTCCATTGGCATCAATATCGACTGTTGTACGTTGTTGTAATTGTGAATCAATGTTCGATGAATTATCTAGATGGATAAGTATTCGACGTTGATGATTAAATATTAAAACAGATAATTAATTAACTTACCTTGAGTACGAAGATGAGGCTCCTTCAAAACTTTTTTCTTGATATTGCGTCGTTTTAATAACAAACATTCATGTAAAGTAGGCCAAATAGCTTCTATTTCAGAATGATCAAGCTTATATTTAGCTTGAGCCCCATATAAAAAGAGTCCGATACGAAAATATTTGAAGTAAAAACATTAAAACCAGGATAAAAATATAACTATATCATTCCCTAAGGTTATTTATATATTTCCACTAGTTTTCAGAGATTAAGTAGAGCTATTTATACTTTAATTTTATTGAAGAATTTTTTTCCTATAAAGCATGCATGAAAATCCTTCAATGTAACTTCAAGATGAGAACAGATAATCGTCAATTTTGATTGTTTTATACCGAACCTATCCCCACGAAATGTGTCATGTATCTGGCATAAAATAAAAAAAAAACTGAAATAAAACGAGAACTTATGAAAAGCAAATTGTTAACACATGATCAATCTAAACTGTCCGAATGCATACTAAAGATCCACTAGTTACCCATGTAAAAAAAACGCCTAAAAATCAGATTATAATCTATTATAATCTGATTAAAATCAGATTTTTCAGCATCGAAAGAAAAAATTATTTTGATTTTAATCTTTTTTAATCTATTTTAATCGATTAAAAAAATTTAGCAATCAGTTTTAATAGATTAAATTTTGATAATCGATTAAGATAGATAAAAAAGGTTAAAATCAGAATAATTTTTTCTTTTGATGCTGAAAAATCAGATTTTAATCAGATTATAATAGTGCCATTATAATAGATTATTAATCTGAAAATAATCGATTTTAATCTAATTTTAAGTCATTTTTTTAACTGGGTAATGCAGCAAGCTCGAAATAGAATTTCTGGAATTTTTCTTAATAGCAAAGCCGACAGACATTATTAGATTGTTTTGAAAGATTTTTGTTGAGAACATAAAGGGAAACGAAGGTATTAATTAATTGAAGTCATGACTGTACGTCTTATTGCTTTTACACGTGGATCTTGATCGATGCAGCTCTTACGAGGATCAAGTGCAATCAATTCGTTGCTATCTTTAAAGACAAGATCGACAGCCTTGTTCACATAATCATTGACGTTGTTTAAAGAACATTGTATTGACATCATATCAATTTCAACTCCATCAGAACGATTGAAGATCTAGAAAAAAAAGCATAAAACGACCAAGTGATTATGTGGAAAACAATATCTAAATTATACAAAAATTTAGAGATAAAATATGGACAATCAGAATTCATAACAAATTTCCGGAGATATTTCGCTATTAAATAACAACAAACAAAGTATCTTGACATTCAGAAATGATAATAAACCACCTATCAACACTGTTTTTTAAATATTCGTAATATTTTAAAACTTATTTTGGAAGAATTAGGAAACTGACTAGAACACATCAATTGATACTGATTTATTGAAACAAGTACAATCGCAAAATTGCTTATATGAAACTCAGTTTGTTTATTAAATGAATAGATCAGATATTTAACTTCCACTAGTATTTCTTTTGATATTTTACTCGATTATTATTAAAGTTTCTCTTGATAAATCTTGCTTCACTCGTATATAATGCATTCATTCATATAAGAATACTTACGATTTTGGAACATGGCTGACTTGTTGATGACTCACCAATTTCTTGTACATCAAGAATATTATATTATCTTATTCAATGCCTAAACTTCCACATTAATATTGAAATTTATTACTTGATTGTTTCAATACTCAAAATTATTTTAAAACTCTTAACGATTTAAGTTTACTCTAACGTCATTTGATCAGACGTATAATCTTGGTGATCTCAATCTAGCAATGGTCTCAATTGTTTTTAGCAGTCAGCGAAAAGTTCATACATTTTAGATCGTTCGAGTATGCTTTGTGGCTAGAACGAGGCTTCGGAAAATGAGTGACTCAATTTTGAAGACTTCCCTGTCTTTTGAGAAATACTTACCTAAATTCTGCTTTTTGTTAGCTAACGTAAGCTTCTCTTTGTTTGTTGTAAGAAACATGTGTAAAATAACCGAAAAAGATAAATTTTCCCTTTTAAATATTCATTATGATAGATTAAAGCTTTACTGTTGACAATAATATCTTTATAAACATTGATCCTGATGTCAACAATCATAGTTAATCTAAGATTGTTCATAGCTAAAGCACATATTTCATAATTATTGAAAAATTAAATAGTCTTCTCCTATTTTGGAGATTATTTCGACCAAAACCTACAGCTAGACATCTTATTATAGAGTAATTATTGGTGAAATTTCATAGCATTTGAGATCGAAGACTCTTCTGTGATAACTACAATTAACCGGTAAAATTATCGCTGAACCGCAGTATTTATTAAAACCGGCGGTTTATCGCGGTTAACTGTCGGTTTTACCGGTTAACCGCCGGTTTTTTACAGTAAACCGCGGTTAACCGTCGGTTTTTCCGGTTTCATCGGTTTACCGCTAAAAGTGATTCGGTATTTGCGACATGGGATAATACAAGTAAATTCTTTTGGATTATGACATGTTTTATTGATAATTGTATCTTGTGAATGACACTTATTGTTTGACCAAATCTAAATAAATTTGTGTTCTTTTAATAAACAATAGATAGACAGAGAAAACGTACTTGTTTAAATGATTTTTTTAAATATCCTTTTGAAGATGTTTCAGTGATAAATTTTGTACTAAAAAATATTTGTTACTTTTGCATCATAACCATTTCGATCATCTATTGTAATAAATAAAAATGAAAACAAGAAACATTCAGTGACTTTGAAATCGTACTGATTATTCGTTTTTTGATTATCATTGAAATTATCTAATGTGAGAAGTTTGCCAAAAATGAATATAGATTGATTCATCTTGAATCCGTTTATGAACACGTATACCATAACCATCATTACAAATTTTTATTTCACCTTTTAATCTAAAATAATATTTTATACAATAGAGTTTAGTTTTATTTGAAGAAAAATACTTGCTGATTGCATACAATGGGCTATTTAATTTCAGTCTGAATTTATCAAATAAAAATAATACTTGATTTCAAACTGAAACGTGAGTCTAGGAGTGAGGGGGGGGGGTGACTGAGGGTGTGGGTGTTGGTCTGGGACCCACACACACACCCACACCCATGGTGCGGGTGTGGGCGCGCGAGTGAGGGTGTGCTTGTGGTTTTGTGTACTATAGGCTTTAGTCCCCTGCACAGGGGACTAAGCGGGGACTAAGCTTTTTGTGGGGGGACTAAGGGGGACTTTGCAGGACTAGGGGGGACTAAGGGTTTTTAGTGAGACTACGTAGTATCAAACGAGAAAAGTTTGATTCGGAAGAAATTGGTGTGGTTTTTTCTGATTTTAGAATTCAGTTTGAAATAAAAAAGCCCATAGACTCGCTGATTGATATCTACTTCGATGGATGTCATTGTTGAATGACATTGTTTATTATCAATAACATTGACTAAATGGAATAGAGAAAATGAAAATGTGATAGTTTTGAATAATATAGATTGTTTTACCAAGAATTTTATCAAAGATTTTATCAAGATGAGATACATAAGCAATTTCATTTTTGATAATTTTCGGTCCTTCTTCAGCTTTTTTTATCAAGAATTCACATTTCCTATAAAGAATAAATGTAAAAGAAATTTGAAGAAATAAGAATCACACTTCGTGACATGGCTTATTTGAATCGATATATGTTTCAGATCGTTTAAGAATTTGATCAAGTTGTTCGAGAAGTTAATTGGTTTCTTCATCTTTATTTAG